TGAATGTAAAATCATGCAATCAGGATGCAATAGTTTCAAATCTGTATCGCTGATGATATTAATTTTAATACCATAAATCCTTCAAGCACTAAGAAAACTGAAATAACTTTAACCCACACAAATACCCCCTGAATGCTAAGGGCTGTCCACTTGTTCATTTGATGTAACAAACTTCTGATTGCTGTGAGACATTACTGAATGAAAACTGAAACAAATTCTTTGTTGAACAGACATACAAAGCAAGGTAAAAAAATTCTTGTAAAGTATAAATTGACCCTAAAATCTGCACCTGCACCCCTTGATACAGGTGGTAAGAGTGGGGGACAATGTGTTCACCATACAGAAAGTCTCATTTCCATGTGAGCGTTCACTCAGCTACTAGGCTGAAAGCCACTCGGGACAGTCATCATCAGATTTGGTCTTTCCGTCCTCATCATGGCTGGTGTATGGATTTTTAGTCCCTTATAAGGGTGTTGTTTTTTCATGTGCATCTGCACAGTTGTACAGGCACATGAAAGCTGGTTTTTCAACTAGCCATGTATAGATATTAGCATTTTCAACACCACATAAAATTTCCATACTGACAGTTTTAGCAGCAATTAAAACATGTGTGAACTCTATGCTGGATTCACCCATGGACTAATTTTACTTGTAAATTAATCTTGACGGATTCAACTATGTGACATGGTTCGCTGCAACACACACAGACATCCATTTCACAATAATTAATTGGGAATGAATCTGAAGATGGTCAAAAACAACTGACACATGACTGTCATTATAATCTCATTCATTTAATTTTAACATCACATAGTTCTCTTGAGCACTGTATATTACACATACGACGACTTCATAATCATGCATTTGGTAGAGCCTGCAGATAGCTGGAATTCACCAAGACATGTTGCTCTGAATTAAGTAATTAATTTTGTTATTATATTGTATATGTTTCATAAATAAATAATAAAATATCATTTGTTGTATGACAGTAAAATAGACCACTTACTCATAAATTAACAAGGCAGTGAGCATAATGACTTCTGTATTCTGGGTTGTCGTGCCGTGTAGTCTGGTAGAAGTTTACCAATGATTCAGAGGTTCATGTCACCTACCTCACCAGGGTGATGGAGGCAGCACGGACCTCTGAAGCATCAACAAACTTTTACCAGACTACACGACACAACAACCCAAAAGACATTCACTTCCAATCACGTAAATGTTACATAGAACATTGTAGTTTGCACTAAAATAGTTTAATAAATGACTGTTCTACAGTCATAAGTATCATTACAAGCACATTATGTATCACTTATTTTACAAAAATGCATTGACATTTGTAAAAACAATCAATATCATGTTATTAAATTGTTTGCATTGCTTTTGTTACAACAAATTTCATTACTAAAAACATAATTTGTCAGTCACCAGAAGTCTGTTTTACTAAGATTTTACTGTACAATATCTTCAACATATGCTCTTCCCTCTTCAAGTTCACTCATTTCATATCATAAGAAACCACGATAAAACACAGCAAAGGTCGCATGCCCCTTCAAAACCTGATACAAACAATTAAATTATTACCAGGTATTTTGTTCTTACCTGAAGTGTCTTTCCGAGTCCCATGCAATGAGCAAGAATGCAGCCAGATCCCGTTGCCTTGTCAGCTTCTTTCAGCGACTCAAAACAAGCATCCCACATAAATTTGACACCTTTCACCTGAATTAAACGAAAATAAGCCTGTAAGACTTGAGGTTCTCACAGCGGTGAGTATGAAGATATCCGTCATCAGGGCGATTCATCGCCCTGATGACGGAGGCAGTATGACCTCTGAAACGTTGGTTAACATCAACCAGACTACACAACGCAACAACCCAGAAGACAGAAATCTTCATACCCATCGCCCTGATGATGGAGGCAGTATGACCTCTGAAACATTGGTTAACATCAACCAGACTACACAGCGCAACAACCCAGAAGACGGATATCGAAAATAAGCCTGCCTTGAGAAATTGGATTCACCTACATCTAACAAATCAATGCGATCTGAAGGTATCATGAAGGCTGCATGAAACCAGGTCCATTACCAGTAGGAAGATACATCGATGAAAGGGTTGATGAGACCAGAAACCCTCCACAGACATCCAAAAAAAAAAGGATCAAAGTTGAGTCCAATTTTATCACTTTGTTCAATCTCCTAAGAAACTACTGTCTGTTAACTCTCAAACCACGTTGTCACGACGATTCCAAAATGTCATTACTGACAAAAATATATGGTGCTTCACCCCATCAACTGTAGATTCAGTTTCCAAAACAAACCTTAATAATTAGTATTTTAAAAACTTTCACGATGGTAGAAGTGACCGAATGCTTCTTTTTAAACAGAATGAAGCTCGGTTTCATCTCAGCACCTACAAAAACACAGAACACATGCCAATGGAACACTAAAAATCCATGTGTAATTCACCAGATTCCATTACATATTCTTATAGTTGGTAAATGCTGAAAGAAAGGAAAAAAAACCACCAAAAGATGCTGTGAAACAGTTAATTCAGAGTGGCATGTGATTAAAAAGTATTTCAGGGTCCTTTTCGGAACAAAATCTAATGCATGCTTTTAACAAGATAATGCACTGCTGGCTGCACAAATTTAATACAGGCTCCATGAATAATCATGTTCCCTGGACCGAATGTATGTGGATTGAAACTGTGAAGAAAGTAAAAGCATGAAGCTTTTGAATCAACACACACTCTTTTTCAAAAATCAGATTCAACAAAAATGGAAGATATACTTCAACATGTAACAGAATTTCTTACATCAGTGTAAAATATACTT